AAAAAAAAAAAGAAAAAGAAAATTTTAACTGAACAGTAAGTTGTTTTTAGTTTACTTTGTTAACAAGGTGGAATATAGAATAAGTTTTTGGTGGAAAATTTTAATTCAAATCAATGCTAAATTGTCCCCTTTCTCTCCAGCAATGGTTTAAACTGCTTCTTTAAATTTCTTGCTTGGATTTACACCGGTTCAGCAAGTATGTTCTCAGAAGCTATACACTCATTATCTGATACTTGTAATCAGGTGAGGAGAAGAGGGTTTTATTTTGTTGTTGTTATTAAAGTAATGTTTTGAGGCTTTTGTCTAAAAGTTCATCTATTAAAAAATGATTCCAATTGTTGGCTTTTGGAAAAAAAGTAAATTGTTTTACTTTTGAGAAATGAAGTACATTTGACTTTCTGTACTCTGGGTTATGCATCCATGGGTTCCACACCCTTAGCTTCAACCTACCGTGAATTAAAAAAAAAATCAGAAAAAATTATGTCTGTATTGACATATACAGATTTTTTCCTTGTCATTATTCCTTAAACAATACAGTTTAGCAATTTTGTATAGCATTTACATTGTATTAGGCACGAGAAGCAATACAGAGATGATTTAAGATGTATAAGGGTTTTGTAGAGTATATGAAATACTGTTATTTTATATAAGGAACTTGAACATCCAAGAATGTTAATATCCTCCAGTGGCCATAGAGCTAATCCCCAATGATACTGAGGGACAGCTGTACATAGAAATATAATAGTGTTTTATAGTAGGTTGTTTTGATTTAAGGACTTCTAATGGAATGTTAATGTATAAGATTATCAGTTACTAAGTGTTTGGTTACAGGCTCTTGTAGAAGAGACTTTTGCATTAAGTAGAAACTTGGCTTAATGTGGTCTTAATGACTGTTAGAATGAATAAATTTAAGGTTTTTGAATAAAGATATAAAATAGTGATATGCAGTGGTTTAAAATGCTTTCACATTAGACTAGTGGCTTGAATTGCTTTACTTTGCAAATGAAAAGATGTTTTTTAAGAATTAAAATATCTTTTAAACTCTCTTTGTCCCAAATTGTGAATATGAAATACCCAGGACTTTTAAAATAATGCTATAAAACTTTTTACTTATCATTTCACATTTTCAAGCTTTTCAGTGTTTACTATTTACACTTCAGTTATGTTGGAACAGATTTGGAAAAATTTACAATGAAAGATAAAAATATATATACATATATATATGTGTGTGTATGTGTATATATATATATATGTGTGTGTGTATATATATGTGTGTGTGTATATATATGTGTATATATATATATACATATATGTGTATATATATATATAT